ATTTTCCAGCAATGTTGAAGCATTGACGTAGTTGGTATGCTAACTAAACTAAATTTGATCTTGGTTTGTCAATTAGAACTTCGCATTTTGCTTTTCGGATAAAATTGATATGATTTGTCAATTGAATCAATTATTTCACAAGTCTTAAAATACGTCGTCTAGCCAATTACCTGCTCTTCGATTTTTTTCTTCAATCATTAATAATAAACCTTTAGGTGCCGTAAGTTTCTTTTTATTACAGTAAAACCTCTCAACAACGGACACCGATGGGGAATCTTTAGTTGTCCGTTGTGGAGAGGTGTCCCTTAATGAGAGGTGTAACAGTCGCAGAGAGTCACAGTAACAGAGAGGGCCAGTAACAGTCCTCTGACGGGGTCTTTCATTAAGGGACAATCTTGTCGTAGCTTGGCTTCCAGTTTTCTAAATGTTTCAGGAACCGGATGCTTTCGATTTGGATACCTCTCCAAATACAGAGCTGCTGCCACAGGAGTATTTTTCTTGCATTCTCTATGGATTAAGAGCAAGCCCACTTTTTTGTTATTTGTGTAATAATACATTGTACACTGGCGGGTACGGAATTTTGGACGATTTGTCATTCGACTGGCATAAAAATGTAAAACGGGCCTTAGGCAATTAACCTCACTTTCGGTTTTTGTAATTTTTATCCTGAGAGCGAGAGAAAAAGTGACAACAAATTAAAATAATTTATTGATCTTATATAAAAACACGTATTGTTGCCATTATCGTTTCGGAAAATCGAGGCCAAAAATAAATTTCAACTAAACTAAATTTTAGTTTCAAACGTCAATCATAGTGACAATAAAGCGTGGCTTACATTGACATTTTCTGTCCAAAATTCCGTGTCCGCCAGTATATTAACGAAAATTGACTATTACTTTTTAAAAGTCAAAATAAAAAGATATGCAAAGTATTCTTGGATTCAATTTTATAATTTTTAAAAATGAGGAAGCTAGACGCCTATGTGAGTTGTATAATGGGTTGCTGCTCAAATTATTTATTATTTAATATTTATTATTAGCAAGGCTAAGTTGATCAACAAATTATTGTTTATTTGCGTTAGTATTGAAAGTACAATTATTATAAATAATAGGAACGTTACTTGTATTATAATTACTATTACTTAAACAAAAAGTACTAGAAGTAGAAGGTACCGTAGGGGGTGAAGAAATATTTGTTGAGATATCAGTAGCATTTAATCTGCTTTGGAGCTTCTCTGATTTTCTTATAGCTCTCGTCGTGCAAATTTTTTTTGGCAAATTCTATTTTGTTTTGTAGAGAATTCCCAACATTTGATTTTGCAACCTTTGTTAATTGCCATCCTCCGTGACGTTTGAGTCGCTAGCTAGAAGTGTTGCCGAGCTTCTTTGAAATGCATGACCAGTGTAAAGAGAATAATCCTTCAGATTTAAATATTTTGCAACTTTTGATGGCCAACTACCAATGATATTTCTTCCAACAACTTGATTGTGGCACTTTCCATTGGAGAATTTCATGAAAAATCTATCAGAAGCAGCATTCTTTGGTTGAAGATGAGCATATTTACGATAAATCTCAAGATAGTCGATTATTTCATCTTTACTGTTGGTAAAACATCTTGAAGTGTTTGTCTCAGTGAACGGTATTTTAACTATTATTAACAATCCTTGATCTTCGATATCCGTAGCTCTTATGTTGTAAAGCTCTTCTCGTCTCCAAGCACCCGTAATGCCAAAAATCATTGCGATGTAATAAAACAATTTATTTACAAATATTAATAAATTAATAATGAAAGACAACTAACCTTTTGAATCAAATATTCGTTATCTGCTGCTTCAGTCAAAAATTTTAAAAGATCTTCTTTAGTGAAGATTTTCGATTTTTTTGGTTTCCACCCAGATGCCTTTTTCTTAAGAAAGGCAATTAATGTCGCATACTTGAAATATCGATAGAATTATTGAGGAAAATCGTACATTTCGGCATCGAATATTCCGACCATAAACTGCCTGGAGATTTTAGCTTTTCGTTGCGATTAACGAAATAGGCAAACAGCACTTTTTCATTAAAGCCATTTAACTTCTTTTTGTCGCACCACTGATTGAAGTTATCGTAAGTATTTTGATAACGGGATCACCGCACTGCAACCAATCTTTCATGCATCTTCTAATTCAATGTTTTTGTTGTTTTCACTTTTACCCATTATTGATGCAGGGGATAATATAATTAGTTTTCTTGGAGCAAACGACGCCAAAACCAGCAAAAATTCAATATGGTGAAGCTTGTTTGAAATCAAAATTGTATATCCATAACAACGAATGTATCAAATGCAACTTTAAAAACTGCAGTGCAATTATTATTGTATTTCACTAATTGTATTATTTAACACAATGCAAATTAATGCCGTCGTGCAAAAAAACGTCATAAGCATCACGAGCGTTATTTGCGTTTGGGCTGCGCCCTCGGTTCCCACATATTTGCCCTCAATTTGGTAAAACGTACCTACCGCTCTTAATACTTATAACTATTACTTCCACGGTGAAATTAGGGAATCCATACAATTTAGTTCAAAAGTGTGTGCCACTATTTGACAAACTATCCGTCGAGTTATGAGTAAAATGTCTTTGATAAAATTGTACACCTCAAGTTTTCAGACGTAACACTCTGTGCATGTGCTGCCGATTTGTTGGCAACATCGCATCTGCAGTTTTTATCACGATTTACTTTGTGAATTAAAGAAGAATCTGTGTAGTAACTAGTGAAATATTGTCCTAATGAAGCCCATTATTTGAAAAAGATAAAAGTTTAAAAAGTCGTTATTTAATTTATAGATTTGCAACAGTTTATTGTATATAATTTGCAGTGATATGTTGCACCAGTTTTGTCCAACTTACAACATTATCTCGAGTCAAAATTTTTTAAAGTATTAATGCCAAGTGTTATTTATAGACGCATAACAATTTAGATACGGCACATAATAATAGTTCGAACTTAGAATTTAAAGCGGTTGTCATTGATTTATCTTCTTGGCTTGCAACGTTAGAGTTCTAATTTCGTTATTATTATCAATTAGTCTAGTAGTTCTATTAAAATTGTTCAAGGACTGCACAGATGTGGCATAAGATGTCCTTAAGGAATTGCATTGGCAGAATGTTTAAATATTATTATTTTTTCAATGATTACAAATTTTGTGATTTTCAAACTTTTACATTATTCGGTTACTTATTTTCATTTTTTGGGATTTTCATCATTCATTTCTAATTATGTAACTTAAATTTTATATCACATCTTCGTATTATAAGTAAAAATTATAACAGTATAGCGTAATGTTTAGCTTTGTATTGCGAAATCATTCGTATTTTTGAAACGTTTTTAATTAAACAATAATGGTTAATGTAATGTGAGCTCTAATTAGTTTTTTCCTCATATGCGATATCTCGTGCGTCGGGAACCGTTTTGAGCAAATTTGCTTAGTTTAATTAATGTATGGGACGTGTCTTGGCATATTACATATACTTAGAAAGTTTCCGAGTCTGGCAGTACAGAATTCTATGACAGACATGAAACTACGATTGTCATCTTCTCAAACCTAATAGCAGGAATAGTACGAGTAGATAGGCGGCCAACTTAATTTATGCTATTTTAAAAGAAAGCAGAAACTTAATAATTTTGTCTTTACATCGCTTTTGAACTAAAATAAACTTTACGTTGTCATTCGTGTACGCCGCCAAATTGTGTTTCCATCGTTTGAGAAAATTGAAAAGGAGATTGAACGAGTTGTTATAGCTTTTTGAGGATTCACGTGCAAATGAGCATAAAGGTGCAGATGTAAAGATAACTCAAACCATTACGTAAGGTAAACGTGCGAATAGGGGATCAAACACGTTCCTGAAATTCATGCATAGAGTTCATTTTATTATTTCTAAAGACCCGCTTTTCTAATTAGGTTTATTTGTCGCGCGAATTTTTATTTTTAACTGATAATCTTATTTCTTTCTTATTTGAAGATAATTTTGCATATGGTTGAATTATTTTTAAGATAGGCGTTGTTTCGTGCAATTATTTTTTGTGCTTTTTTTAATGATTTTAAATACATAAAAACTTGGAAAAGTTTAACTATAGATGGTTAATGGTTAAAACAGTTCTAATTCTATGCTAATGAAATTTACCTTATAATTTTTTGCAGGACTTGAAATTAATTTTCATCGGCTTGATGACAATATTTGTTGAGGAGATATTTGTCGTCATTAATTTTTTAATAAAATGTTTAGTGTGTTGAAATCTTTTCTTTGTTTTTTGTTGTTTTAATATACAGTATGTTTCCGGATTGGGTTTACAAGAGGAAATTTTTTTGTCTTTTATTTTACGCCAAAACTGCAAAGAAAAAACATTTTTTGCTTCACCTGAAACGAGCAAACCTGTAATTAAAACTTCATTATTCTGATTCGGTGGAAAGAAAAGTTAATTTTTCTCTTCATTTTCGACTTTTTCTCTGCTTTTTAAGTGGTATCACATTGGCGGTTTTATTTATCTGACAACTATGTCACTTTGACAATTAATTTATTAATTAAATATGGATAGTTCTTGTTAAAAATGACTTTGTGTTTTATCTTAAAGTGGTATTTTTGAGTTGCTATTTATCAAAATTATGTTTTTCACAAACATTTTTGTTATCTAACTTGCAAAAACTCATTTGTCAAAGTGACATCATTGTCAAATAAATAAAACCGCCAATGTGATAGGACTTAAAAAGTAGAGAAAAATTTTCTAAGTGCAAAATCAAGAAAAAATGGACTTTTCTTTCTACTGAGTTAGAATAATGAAGTTTTAATTACAGATTTGCTCGTTTCAGGTAAAGCAAAAAATGTTTTTTCTTTGCAGTTCTGGCGTAAAATCAAAGATAATTTGTTTTACCTCTTGTAAACCCAATCCGGGGACATATTGTATGTTACTTGTGTTTTTGTGCAATTTTTGTAATTAATACATTTGTGTTTTTATTGTTTTAGATGGGCACAGCACTTTCTATAGAAGTCAAGGATTTGCCAGGCGATGTAATGGTTAGTGCAGGTTAAAAAAACCTACCTATGTTTTGCATACCACCGTATGTGAAAAAAGAGAAAGTCTTGTACGAGTTTAATCGGATTCATATTATAGATGTTCCAAAATTGGTCATATTAAATAATAATTTATTTTTATGGATTAGTATATTTTCTATTGTTTAATAGTTTATACAATATTATTTATAGTATACTATTTAACGAGTATAGTATAATGGTGGCTATAATTCAAGAATTATTTGCGAGTCACATAAGACGTTTTATATAGGATCTGTTTTAGACACGAGTACAATGAGACAGAATCGTTAATTATAAAAAATTATAAAAAATTATTTTATAAACTCGATTTCCAAACGTTCTGGAAATTCCTGATGAACCGACTTCTCTGAAACTTCTTCACAGGTATTGTTCTTTCTCAACATTTTCTTCGATCTGATACAGATTAACATGCCAATGTTTAGAGCTTGAAAACTAATGCATCATCCTTTTTAAATAAAGAAGTAAGTGAGAGTGAGAGACCAGAAAAACATTAAGAAGTACAAAAAAATTGACGTTTTGTCATCGCGATGTAAACGTGGTGAGGTGAAACGTCAGATGACGCACCGGTCAACCCCCGTGATTTTTCCCATACAAATATATATTTTTTAGATAAGAAAAAAACAAGCTTTTTAAAAATGACAGCCATCTATGATATCTATTTAAGAAAATACAGGTTTATTTTATTACGGCTAAATAAACACCTGAAGAAAATTGTTAACTACATTATTAAATTCTCCGTAAAAAGTGCCTGTATAATGTTTGTCAACAAGTCGAAAACAAAAGACGATAGCGGAATGCGGTTTTACCCAATATTATTTTCTCAAAAAAATGGGCCCCAGAATGTATTACTTGTTTTTGGCTAAACCTCTTAGTTTCGGAGATTCCCTATTCGGACATCCAAAATGCAGCACCCTGTACAGACAAAATATGGTTTTATTCTTTCTGAAATTAGTTTTCTATTATTAAAGAAAGTACCTAAAATGTTTTGTTTTGGTTTGAAAAGTCGTTTCCACAAAAGTGTTATCTACGGTTCTGGTCAAGGAAAATTAATTTAAAAAAAATCTTTTTTATATGTACAGAACTGGATTGAAAATATTTAGTGGTTTACACGATAAAATTTTAAAAACCAATAATTGTTTGTAGCAAAACAATATAATATTATAGCTAAATCAAGGAAGCTTCTGACTGCAGTGATTAATGAGAGTGATTAATGACTCATTAATCACTAGTGATTAGTGGGTATTATTAACATAGAGCAAACAGACGTATAAGGGGTACATTATACAATAGTCGTGGATAAACTATTATTATACATCGGCGACTAATTTCAGCGCATATTGCCGTTTTACCTTTAGACTTGTCATTTTATTTGAGGTTCCACCTGCATACCCATTTAATTATTTAATTTTTGGAAACCCATGACAGTAGTTGTTAAACTAATCACTATTTCATTAATAGTCATAAACTGCAGTTTTTCAGAAACAATTATCATTTGTTCTATTAAGAGACGGCATAAATATGATTCTAGTTTATCTATGTTAATCACTAACTAACTAAAAACGTTGTAATTTTGAAAGGGTGTACAAACTAGAGAAGATTATTCAATTTTTCAAAATTTGTAATCGAGTTCGTATCGGAATATGTATTATTGATTGCATCTTAGAGGCACAGGCTTCGTAAAACACCCTGAACATACTTTTTATTATATGATGTTTTTTTTAAAACTTGTTTCGTATTAAGTATTTAGTGTACTTTATATTTAGTTTATAAATCTACAAAACTAACACATTCTGAGTAAGTATTAAGCGGTAAATGGAGAGGAGGATAAATCTCTTCCGCATAAACTTGGGGACAGCCAGAAAAGACCTAGATTAAGTGAATGAAAACCGGAAAGGTGTTAATACCGACACACTTTAATAAGGTTTTAGTCTTGGTTAAAAGCTCAGTCAGATAAAAATAAAACTCTCTACTTTATCGCTACAAAACCCTTACCGAAACGAATAATAATAATTAATTTATGAAATTAGTTGAGTTAGGAGTGTGTATGTGGAAAATTAAAATCTACTTTGAAGGTTTTTGCTGATAATGTTTAGTATCTATCAATTTCCCACATACCTTTTTAATAATAGACTTTATCGTATCATCATCTATTATATTCACTTAATACGTTCGATACGAGACATTATACCAACTCAAAATATATTAGGTACAAAATCATAGTAAACAATCCATTGATCTTTCAATTTTTGACACCGAATTTGATACATTGCCTCTCCTATTCACACGATTATCTTGCAAATCTAAAATGTTTCCACCGGCATTTAACATGATTTAAACCATCTCGGACGATGCGGAGGTGACTCGGCTAACCTCGTCACCTAACATCATAGATGAATACTTTATCTAGGGTATATAAATAGATGGAGTACTCATGTATATGTCGTAGTCATTGGGCGTAATACGTCATTCCGCGGAAAGCCTAGTCTTTGGCCGTACTGCCGGCAGACGCTGTAATCAAATGAATATTCCTTTGTTTGACTGAAATTTTACGTCATTTCAGGGATTGCCCACTTAATTCTCGTCAAACAAAGTAACCCGTTAAACCATTACATGTTACAGCGTTTGACGGAAGTGTATTTAGTCATTTGCTGAAAAGTCTTGAAATGTTTGATACTTTCTGTAGAAATGTAAATTTTTGGTAGAAGAAAAGAAAAGCCAAAAAGCTAAAATATTTTTATTGTAGCAAAATATTTGTTTCGTTTATTTGGAATAATGTAAACATATAATATTATAAAATCATATAAAAAACGTTAAGTACATGACCTAAACAACAGATAAAAATATATTTTTTGCCTTCAGGTAAATTAAACAAAAGTAAAAATATATTCTTTAGAAATCTTTTGCAGCCTAAAATATGTACAACTGAAATAAGGGTGTATTTTGAGGTTAGAAGTCTTTTACCTCCTTCATTACTTCATAACGGAACGGTTTTTTGGCATCTTTGTTTTTCAAACAATATTCATTTAATTTGTCATAAAACAAACTCTTATAATTATCCATTTCCCAACAATTACTAAATGTTACGGCCCGAAATACTACACAATAAAATTTCAAGCTTTCAGCAAATGACTAAATACACTTCCGTCAAACGCTGTAACATTTAATGGTCTAACCGGTTACTTTGTTTGACGAGAATTATTTAGGCAATCCCTGAAATGACGTAAAATTTCAGTCAAACAAGGGAATATTCATTTGATTACAGCATCTGCCGGCAGTACGGCCAAAGACTAGGCTTTCCGCGGAATGACGCATTACGCCCAATGACTACGACATATACATACAGATACAGGGTGAATATAAAGTATGGAACCAAGCGGTTTTATTTTTAATCATTTGCCTCCAGCAAATAATAATTAATATAAATTAAAGTAATATAAAAAATGTGATCGTATTTTCAGAACGAAATTTTGTTTTGTTTTGTATATACATGATACATACAACCTTTTGAACTCGTATTCAGCAGCGCCTCTGTAATTTGGACGCTGAACCATAGAGCAAAACCTGCCTTTTTTAAAAGATAGAAACAATGTTAATTGAGTATTTAGTAGAGGGAGATAAGTGCTACTAGAACTTTAATAGAGATTAAACAAATAAAATAGAACACCAACTTTTTTTAAAGATATCGAATCAATTTAGTGGTTAACATAGGTTGATGTACGTGGTTTCATACTTATATGGATTATATTAGAACAATTATGTTCGAAGAAGGAAGCATAAACAGTCTGGATTGTTGAGTTCTTGTCACAAGCGTGCCGGCCGGAACAAATCTTCAAATTTTTTCTGTCAATGTTCAGATTCTCATCACCAAAATTCACAAATTGTTAGTAAAACTTCCTTTACAACACAGTCACACATCTGTATACAATAACTGAATAAAAATCTAAAAATCAAAACTACACATAAGCACTTATTTGAACGATGTCACCGTCAAAATTTTGTTTTTTCTCGCACAGTCAACCGCTAAAATTTTAAAATTTTGATGCGAGCGCCTCTGGTGTTTGGACGCTAAATTAAATAGATAGACTGAATTCACCAATATAAGAAACCATATCATAATTATTATAAATCACTTAATTATTCTCGTTATATTAATAGCTATTATTCGCGGCTTTGCCGCTCGCTTCCTTCTAAATCTCACACTATCTGATTTGCAAATATTTTATATGTATAATTAATAAAAACTCACACTATCGGATTTTGTCAAAATTTATATTTAAATTTATTTCGCCTCATTCTAAACCTCATACTATCTGATATGGAAATATTTTATATATTTTTTTGTGTTACTTTTTATTAAAACTATTGTATAATGTTTAAGTTTAAAAGTTTTATAATTTGTTTTTTATTTTTGTAATTTGTTAATTATTTATTAGGAGTAATAAATAATAGTTATTTATTCGACGAGTGTGAGTGTAAATCGGATGGTTTATTTGACCGAGTAGATTTTTAAACCACGAGTGTAACGAGAGATTTACCATCCACGAGGTAGAATAAAGCGTCCGATTTACACTCAAACGAGTTGAATACAACATTTTATTCTTCGAATTAGACTCAACAAGGCTTAAACGTGCTTTAAATCTGTTAAAAGTAATTTGACGTTTCGTATTGTGAAATGCCAAACAGTTGTCAAAACTTTCTTACACGGGAGAAAAACCATAAATTTTGACAGTGTCGAAGAATAAATGATTTTAATCAAATAAATTGTCATACGCGCACGTGCTTGTCAAAATTTCAGTAGATATGTACAAACTTTGATTGAATGAATTATTAGACTGAGATAAACACATTGACTCACTGTACGTGAGAAAGAAACGAATGATTTTATTCGATAATTCGGTATTGCGCTCATATTCATTTCTTCGTAATGAATGATTTTTGATGAATGAATGAATTTTCTATTA